CCCCTCCTGGCCTGACATCCCCAACCCGGGAGAGCTCTGTTTTTCGGACCCCCCACCCCACCATTTTTTCCCCAGAACCTACCAACGCCCTCCTCCTGGCCTGACATCCCCACCCCGGGAGAGCTCTGTTTGTGGGACCCCCACCCCACAATTTCTCGCCCAGAACCTACCAACGCACCCCTCCTGGCCTGACACCCCCACCCCGGGAGAGCTCTGTTTTTGAAACCCCCCACCCCACAATTTCTCGCTCAGAACCTACCAACGCCCCCCTCCTGGCCTGACATCCCACTCCCGGGAGAGCTCTGTTCTTGGGCCCCTCCACCCCAACAAATTTCTCGCCCAGAACCTACCGACGCACCCCCTCCTGCCTGACATCCCCACCCCGGAGAGCTCTGTTCTGGACCCCCCACCCCAACAATTATCTCGACCCAGACCCTACCGACGCCCCCTCCTGGCCTGACATCCCCACACCCGGGAGAGCTTCTGATCTGGGAACCACCCTAAACCCCACAATTTCTCCCCCAGAAACCTACCGACGCCCACCCTCCTGGCCTGACATCCCCACCCCGGGAGAGCCACATTTTGAAAACAACCCGCCCTCAATCCGCAAAACTCTCGCAAATGTGCAAAATGAATGTGCACGACGCTAGCGGGAGAGCCACATTTTGAAAACCACCCGCCCTCAATCCGTGAAACTCTGGCAAATGTTTAAAAACGAATGTGCGCGGCGCTACGGCGAGAGCCACATCTTAAAAACCACCCGCCCTCCATCTGCGAAATTGTTGCCACGTTTTAAGCTTCAGTGCCATACATAATAAGGAATCTCGGGCGAAACGCCCGGCCCGCCCTACAACATCCCCACCCCGGGAGAGCCACATTTTGAAAACAACTCGCCCTCAATCCGTAAAACTCTCGCAAATGTGCAAAATGAATGTGCACGACGCTAGCGGGAGAGCCACATTTTGAAAACCACCCGCCCTCCATCCGTGAAGCTCTGGCAAATGTTTAAAAACGAATGTGCGCGGCGCTACGGCGAGAGCCACATCTTAAAAACCACCCGCCCTCCATTTGCGAAATTGTTGCCACGTTTTAAGCTTCAGTGCCATACATAATAAGGAATCTCGGGCGAAACGCCCGGCCCGCCCTACAAAAAAAATAAAAAAGTCCAGACCTTCTTTGGGGTCGGCGGCAGAGGCGGCAGCCTTTAGATAAATTGTAAGGAAGTTCCAAGCGAGAGCGCGATTCCTGAATTAAATGCGAGGAAACCTCGGGCGGGAGCGGGGGTCCTGGCTAAATTGTGAGGAAGTCTCAGGCGAGAGCCGTTGTTGTTGTAACCTGGGGGCCAAGAACACAGTTTGAGAACGAAGACTTTCCCTGATAGAGAAAAACAAGGTGCGAGCGCCGGGAGGGGCACTTCAACTGAAAACGTGCAATGTGCACCGGAGGGGGGATCAACTATAATTATTCTTCAGTAGTGAGGGCTCAACAATGACAACAAAAACAGCAACGACAACAACAACTGCAACAATCAGTTCAAGACTGCTCGCTCTTATCCGCCCGCGTGCAACTCAGCAAATAAATCCCAACCCCTTGATATCCGCCCTCTTCGCCTTCGACCGTACCCCCATAGGGAAATAGATATGTCTTACCTGCAGCGCGTATTTCGTGCGGCCCCCAAGGCAGGGCGCGTATTTCGTGCAAGCCCCCAAGGCAGTCGGAGGGAGGAGGATGGAGCACGATAGAGAATAGCAGGAGGGGGGTTAGGAGCAGAAAAATACGTGGCAGAACCAAACGGACGGGCAAATCGGGCGAATAGACCCTAACAGGCGGGTCGGAAAGGCGGGCCCAGGCGGCCAGGTCGAGCAGGCGGCTTGCTGAAGCGTGACCCTGAATGAATGGCGACGAAGTCTCGAACCAAAGCGCGATTCCCAAATAAATCGTGAGGACATCCACAGCGAGAGTGTGATTCCTGAATATCGAGGACGCGGCGTCTGAATAAATGGCGAGGAAGTCCCACGCGAGAGCGCCATTCCTGCATACAGTGTGAGGAAGTTCCGCGCGAGTGTGACTTGGGAATCCATCTTGAGGAAGTATCAGGCTGGAGCCACTGATGTTGCAAACCGGGGGCCAACGGCGCAGTTTGGTGACACCCAGCTCTCCTTTGTAAAAAACAAGGTGCGAGCCCAGTGAGAAGCGTTATAACTAAAAACACAAGGGTTGCTGGGCAGGGAGGAACAACAAATATTCGTGCGAAATAAAAATTGAAAAACCACAACAACTACAACAACAACAGCAGCAGCAGAAACAACCAGTTCAAGACTGTTCGCTTTCATCTGCCCGCGTGCAATTCAACACATATACCCCAAACCCTCGATACCCGCCCTCATCGTTTTCGATCGTGCCCCTATAGGGGAATATCTCTTTGACCAGTAACATGTATCCCGTGCAGCCCCTTAGGCAGGGGAAAAGAGGACGGATGGAAGGAAGGGACAAGGGGGAGGGAGGAGGATGGAGCACGAGAGAGGATAGCAGGAGGGGGGCTAGGAGCAGAAAAATACGTGGCAGAACCAGACGGGCAGATCGGGCGGATAGATCCTCCTAACGGGCGTGTGGGAAGGCGGGCCCAGGTGGCCAGGTCGGGCAGACGGGTTGCTGAAGCGTGCGTCCTGAATGAACGGCGAAGAAATCTCGAACCAAAGCGCGGTTCCCAAATAAATCGTGAGGACATCCACAGCGAGAGCGTGATCCCTGAATGTCGAGGACGCGGCGTCTGAATAAATGGCGAGGAAGTCCCACGCGAGAGCGCCATTCCTGCATACAGTGTGAGGAAGTTCCGCGCGAGTGTGATTTGGGAATCCATCTTGAGGAAGTATCAGGCGGGAGCCACTGATGTTGCAAACCGGGGGGGCCAACGGCGCAGCTTGGTGGCACCCAGTTCTCCTTTGTACACAACAGGGTGCGAGCCCCGCGAGAAGCATTATAATCAAAAACACAACGGTTGCTGGGCAGGGGGGATCAACAATTATTCTTGAGAAGTGAAAGCTCCCCCCCCCTCCCAAAAACAAACAGCAGCGGCAGCAGAAACAACCAGTTCAAGACGGCTCGCTTTTATCTGCCCGCGTGCAATTCAACACCTATACCCCAAACCCTCGATACCCGCCCTCTTCGTTTTCGATCGTTCCCCTATAAGGGAAATATCTTTCTTACCTGTAACATGTATCCCGTGCAGCCCCTCAGGCAGGGGAAAAGAGGACGGATGGAAGGAACGGACAAAGGGGAGGGAGGAGGATGGAGCACAATAGAGAATAGCAGGAGGGGGGCTAGGAGCAGAACACATGTGGCAGAACCAGACGGGCAGATCGGGCGGATAGATCCTCCTAACGGGCGTGTGGGAAGGCGAGCCCAGGCGGCCAGGTCGAGCAGGCGGGTTGCTGAAGCGTGCGTCCTGCATGAATCGCGAGGAAGTCTCGAGCGACAGCGCGCTTCCCGAATAAATCGTGAGACCCTGGTCTTGAGAGTACAGGTATATCGCCATCGGGCTTAGGGCGCTGACGTCGATCCATAAAGCACGGGCCAGGTTCGCTCTCACCAGGGAGCGTACCCCAGCCCCGCGACATACCAGCGTATGCTGCCAATCGCAGCGCCGCGCAATCCCCGCACCCAGCCTCCTGTGAACTCTTGCGGAGGGGCACTGAGCGAACCCACCAGACTGTGGGGCGCAGGAGGCGGGAAGGCAGCCGAAGTTGCGGCTGCCGCAAGCAATCCAGAAGCAGGGTGTAGGTCGTCCCGCTCAAGTCCTGGCGCATGTGGCCCCCCGCCCACGACGCCCTCCTCGCTTGAGCCGCAGCCCCAGACCGACGCTGAGCGGTCCTGCGGCGCGAAGCATGCGGAGCGCGGGTGACACGGCAACCTCTTCTGGGGTCACCCCTGTGTGGACCAGAGAAGCCCGCGGAGGGAACTCCCAGGTCCGCCAAAGCAGGCAGAGGCTGACCCACGAGCCGCTCGGAGAGCGCGGCACGCAGGCCCCTGAGGGGAGCCTCGCCAATGGCCGCCTGAGCGAACGCCTGCACGAGGCGCCCGCGGAGGGGCCAGGAAGGGGAGCGCTTGGGCCGAGAAGCTGCAGGAACCGCAAAGCGCTGGGCGCGCCCGGAGAAGTAAGGTCACTCGGGCCGCCCAGGGCCTGAATCTGACCATCGTCACCGAGAACGGAGGCCATTATCACCCGGTGACGGCGATCGCCGATACGAAAGTCTGTGCCAACACGAGGACAATCGCTGGCGTATGAAATGGAATGTGCGTTTACAATCGTTAGCACTCGCCAGCACCGTCGTCATCGCCATCATCGTCATCATCGTCATCATCAGCAGCCCAGGCCGAAGACGACAAGCGACGACAACGAAAAGATCTGGACCAATACAGTGGTGGCTGGCCCGTGTCGTAGAAGCGGTTTGACCTTGGCGCGACCAGCACAGCTACCGATCAGTATGCTGGTCCTCCCCCCAACCCTATTATACTTTCCTCTCTCCTGCTCCCTCTCTCGCGCACTTTCGTTCGAGCACCCTTTCTGTCTCGTCATCAGCATCAGCATCAGCATCATCATCATCATCATCATCATCATCATCATCATCATCATCAGCAGCAGCAGCAGCATCAGCATCAGCATCATTATCACCATTATCATCAGCATCGTCGCCATCATCATCGCCATCATCATCAACAACATCATCATCATCAGCAGCAGCAAAGTCAGCATCGTCGTCATCATCAGCAGCATCACCACTACCACCGCCATCACCATCAGCAGCAGCAGCAGCATCATCCATTGCTTCCTCCTCCGCATTATGTGTGGTCATGTGCGCGCACATGGTGCCAAGCACCAAGCCTATCCAGCCGATGTGCCGAGGTACATCTTGTCCCAACACTCACAGTATGTTGTGAAAACATATCGTTCGGAAGCGCCCCATTGGAAAACGACTGGAGAGTAGCAGACAGATGACGAACCTGCCATTATTCGAACCACTCATTATTCTAACCCGCAGCAGATGAAACTCCTGATGCAGGCGCATCGAGAGAACACTACGCCAAGCAAATCTGGACCTCTACACGAACCGACCTGCCATGTGCAAGCCCACGCGCCGGACTGCAAGTTGTAAGCAAAGCGACAGTCAAGCTACCTTCGCACCGTACACCATGCAACTGGAACCTATACACGCAATGCACGTTGTCCCCGCCGTTATGATGCCGAATGTAGGCATGCGGTGTGTAACCGCCTCGTTTTAGCATCTCCGTAATATCTTTGGAAGGTCCCAAGGCCGCTTCAGAGCTATCTTAGCGCCTCATTGGGGCATTTGGGTGACATGCTGGAGGCCATCTTGGGCCAACATGGCCCATCGGCCGCCACCCTGGAGGCGGGCATCGCCCTGTCTTAGTGGAACTCCTCCTCTGGGCCTGGAGAGGGACCCCCACGAGGAGTCACAGCGTCCAAGATGGCCCGAGATGGTTCCAAAACGGCCTCGGATAGACCAAGACGGTTTCCAAGATGGCAGAAGCTGATCCAACTTAGTTCAAGATGGCCTGCAGCATGCCTCCAAGAGGGCCCCTGATCGCCACAAGACGGTCCGAGGTGGCCACGGAGCCTCCAAAATGATGCACCCGAGGGGCCAAAATCGTTCATAGACGTGTGGTGTTCAACACGCGCTCCAAGACCCCCAGGAGCACTCAAGGAGAGCCCCGCGAAGACCCCCACGCGATTGTTCTGGGTCCGACAGGGGAGCCTTGACTGTCGGCCCTCCATCTTGTATCGATGGTCTCCCAGATCAGCCCGGTGGACCGCGAAGGCCACCCAAAGGGCCCCAACAAAGCCCTAAGAGAGTACCAAAGGCCCAAGCCCCAAGATAGCCGAAGGAATTTACGAAGAAGCCTCCAAGAGGCTCAGAAAATTCCTCGAATTGGCAGTGGCTCGGAGCTGCTCGGGCTGACCCGAGCTCTGGTTTTGTCGTCCAGCACGAGCCCTCAAAAGGCCTTCACTGTAGACTCGTGTGAGTGCTCAGGCTAATCCCGGGCTCCGGCTCGACGGCTGCCCCGCCTCCCCTGTCACTGTGTCCTCTGAGTTGCCGATGCTCAAAGAACAACTCGCCCGGCATTCTTTTCTGGGTAGATTGGTGGGGATACTTTTTTGATCGCGACCGCGAGCGGGCACCCGCGCGGCGTCGGAAAGTTGGTGGGGATACTTTTTGTCGCAACCGCAGGCGAATGCACCAACGGCGAGTAAGGTCCGAGCGGGCCGCGCAAGAGCCGTTGGTGGGGATATTTTTTAGTCAACGGCCGCGGGCGGAAGCGCCGGCGGCGTGCCAAGTCGAAGCGGGTACGCGCCACTGACTAATTAGCAGCAGAAAACTGATGCACAGTACTGCCAGAGTGCGCATGCAAGAGGCCGAGGCGGAAAAGGCAGGAGAAACGCGGGAAAACCAACTGAGCGACGGGGGTGGCGGCAATTAAGCGCGGCCGAGGCCTCAGGGGAGGGCTGCCGGGGCTGAGCTGAGGGGAACTGCCGTGTGCACAGCAGCAAGTCAGTCGGGCGTCAAGCGTCGGAGAGTCAACGACGGCCAGGGGCAACACCGAAAGAGAAAATGTGGCACCGAACCTCGGACGGCGTGGGCACCAGGGTGGCCAAGGCCAACGAGACGTCGATTGGTGGGGATACTTTTTCGGTCGCGTCCGCAAGCGAAGGCGCAGGCGGAGTCAGAAGCGGTCCGGGGCGCGGAAACTGGCCTAATTAGCTACTGGGAGCGCCGCAGGCCGGCCGGGCCCGCTCACCAAGCAGCTGCTGTGCCGCGCGGAGAAGCTGACAGGCTGAGGGCACCCAGGGAAGCTCGGGCAACGTGCAGCCTAGCAAAACGCCAGGAAAGTCGGTGTATGCCATGCGGCATGACCCACTCAGAGAGCGCGAGGACGTGTGCGCAGATGCCTACGCGTCTCACACGCCTGGAGTACGCACAGGTGAGGTGAACGATGAACGAGTCGCCAGCGGGGCGCCAGGTCCAGGGCCGTACCAGCGGCGTATGCAAGCTGATGGGGCTAAGCTGCCGAAGTGACGTCGAAAACCTGCCTGAATGGCTGGAATGGGTCCAGGGGAAGCGCCGCGTCTGACGGAAGGCTGAACCACTCCGAAGCGACCACGGGGCTCCAAGGCCCACCATCCCGAGCTCGTGGGGCGCTGGCCCTGTGGTGTACCCTGAGGGCCTGACCCCAGTCACCAGCTCTCAGTGCGCGGTGACCGACGCACTGAGTGTGACGGGCCAGGCTGGCGGGGACGAACAAAGCGTCAGGAATGGAGGCAGTATTGCGCCTTGCGGTGTGAGAGCGAGCCAAAGCCTACGCACGTCTTCTGTGCACCCATCTTGCTCCGCTGCCTCCCAATTGGGTCGCCAAGGAGACGACATCATCTGGTTGGGATTGTGCATCAGCGGCGCCGGGTATGAGGGCGCGAAGAAGCCCACCTGCAGGGCAGCAGCTTACAAGGAGCAGGAAATTGCTAGGAGAGGGGCGGACCAAGCCACCCTCGTTGTCTATTCAGGCCTCAGAAAGACTGCGTGGCTTTCACAGAACACAAGGCCTAATGGCTTACCCTGGACTCCGTCCTGACTGGCATCACGAACCTAACCTGTCCATTGCAACACGCACGCCTCTGTGCCCGCCAAGGTAGGAAGGTGCACAAGCCAAGACTCCGACTAGCATGATGTTCCGAGTTGACGGAAATGGAAAACGAGCGTTCCAACTCTGACTGGCGTTTCCTCAAGTTGCCACGGGGCCCTCAAGATGCACCATGCTGAATGTACCGACGAGGGGGACAGGCAGGCCGAAGCACCCCAGCATGACTCCGTGTATTGTGCAATCGCCTGCTCAGACCCAAACCGCACCTACATATAACACGAACGCAAACAGCTAGATCGATGCCAAGCTGACGGCGCTCTCACGATATACACAGTGCCACCAACTGGTCAAGTTCAGAGCAATGATGAATGTGTCAATTGCTTTGAGGTCAGATCCGAATGCTCTGAGAGACGAGGAAGCATTGTACGCTGCGGGCTGCATTCTTCCAACGTTGCTTGGATGCGCTCAGGGCCCTGTTTGTTCAGGCGACCGTCGACTCTCGCTGCTGCGATTTCTGCTGGCCGCCATGAGGCCCCGCGGTACCGCTGGCTCTGGCTGCTGCGAGCTTCTGCTGGCCGCCCAACCCTGCGCTTGGTGCCCCGTGGTCGGTGCCCTGTGAAGCCCAGCGGCCGGCGCCCTACGACTTGTGTCTTATAGCCTGCATCACACAGCTTGTGCATCGGAGGTGCTGGGACCTACCGTTCGGGGTCGGGCATCATGCGTGCAAACCTGGGCTAAAACCATGCACAAACTGGTGTAAAAATTGCTGCAATATGCGCAGAGATTTGGCGGGGCCGTCAGGCAACGGCAAGCTGTTCCAGGCTACCCAAGACTCCCTTCGGGTGAATACCAGCGAAATCAGAAAACCATGCATATGAGTAAGAAAGGAGTCGGCTGCGGGAATTCCATGCGTAACACCGGCATAAACATCACCACGAATGTAGATATGTCATTAGCGGTCAACGGGCAAGGTGCAATTGGGTACATGTAGTAAGCGTCGCTGCGTAAAAACCAAAATAAAGGGAGGAGCAAGCGAGATTCGCGAGCAAAACAAAGCGCGCCGAATACCATGTGACAACGGCGGCTGCACGAGCTGTTTCGACACGCTCTAGGTCATGACGCCCGTGCCCCCAATTACGGACAGGGGAAGTGCGGCGGGGTCACTAGACGCCGATACACGTTCTGCACCTTTCATGCCACTTCGATGTTGGCTGTTGAAGGTCAGGTAGCGTGGTCATGCTGCTTGTATCCGCCTGTGCTGAGAGGCACTTAGTGGAGTGTCTTCAAGTCCTTCGAGTTCTCTGTACATACTATCGCCGATTCTCTCGAAAGGGCCCAGGCCCCCCGTTCCCAGAATTCTTGGGATTCGCCGCGTGGCCTTTCCCCAAGGTCCTGGATGCGCTCTTGAGACCCCAAACTTCCAGCATGCCCTAATGTGCTCCCACGGGCCCCTACTGGAGCCGCCTCGGGGATCCCTTGGGCCGCCTTGGAGGCCCTGGGGCCGGCCCAGGAGGCCAAAATCACGAAAGCACCAAAGGTTCCTAAATGATTTCAGCATTCGCGTCTCTCGGTCTTGAGAGCGTCCAAGACGTCCCGAGAAGCCTCAAAAACCGACCCGAGGGCTGCCCAAGATGGGGACAATAAGGCCGCCCAAGACGGCCCCAAGGCGGTCCCAAAAATCACGCCGCTGCCGCGCCACTGAAGCCACCCTTCCAAGAAGGCCCCCCGACATCCAAGATGCCCCAAAGCGGCCCAAAGAGGCCTCCAAGAGGCTCCCCAGAGGCCTCCCAAGAGACCCGAAGAGGCCTCCAAAAGGCCGCGTGTCCACGACCCAGGCACTGTGGCGGGATGGGCCGACGGCCACTAGAGAACCCTGATACGCGCGGGGCGAGGAGTTGACCGAAGGGCTCGACACATGGGGCTCCACCCATCCACAGGCTCCCACACATGGGGCTCCAGACATAGGGTTGCACACATAGTTCGACACATTGAGCTCGCTACACATACGGCGCGTTCGCGTCGCCGCGACCTCTGCGCTGGTTTCTGACACTCATCCTTCAACGCTCGCGCCAGGATCGCCGCCGCGTCAGCGCGGAGCGAACCTGCCGCTGGGCCCCACGCATAACACAAAGGGCTCCATGCATGCAGGGTCCCACGCACACGGGCTCCCCCTGGCCGCACGCACAAACGACCTCGCCCAAGAGTGAGCCCTGGTACGCCGCTGCGGGTCGGCGCGAGGGGGGCAGGCCCAGACGCGCGGGCCGCTGCCGTCGCATCGCACTCGGCGACCGGGGGGCCGCGGTGGGGCCCACGCGAAAGGTGGCTCCGGCGAAGGGTCACTCGAACGGCCACCCGAGGCGAAGCCTGGGCTGGTCGGTCTGCGGGCCGTGGCTCGGGCCTCCGGCGGGCGCTCTGGACGATCCGGGCCCCCCCGAGGGGGCTCTCGGCGAGGCGCGGCTGCTGGAGAGCCTCCCAGGACGAGGAGACCTCCACGGGCGGGGTTTCAGAAGGCCCCCTATCGAAGGGTCACTCTCAAACGTCGGCTGCCACACGTAAGGCTCCACCGCTCGGGGCTCTCGGCGAGGCGCGGCTCCTGGAGGGCCTCCCAAACGAGAAAACCTCCACTGGTGGGGTCCCAAAAGACCCCATCGGAGGGTCACTCTTACATAATGTCGACTGCCACCCGAACAGTGGGGGGGCTGACCTGAGGAACCCTAAATGAGGAAAGAGGCCCTTTCTTTCCAGAAGTGAAACTTCGAGTTCCCATCGACAACCTAACAAGGCAACCCAAGGCAAACTGTAAAACAACTAAGGAACACTGAACCCCCCCCCCAACGAAAAGGGTTCCTTCTTCAGCGCCCCGACTGTGAGGTTCCACCGCTCGGGCTGCCGCCACCCTCCGCGCCTCCCATGCCGCCTCCCGGCCGGAAGCCGCGGAGCGCCCGCCAGAGCTTGCGGTGCCCCGAGAGGTCGTCGTCGTCGTCGTCGTCGCCGTCGCCGCCGCCGCCGCCGCCGCCGCCGTCGTCGTCGTCGTCGTCGTCGTCGTCGAAGATCGAGGTTTTCGGACGTCTTCTGTTCGATTGGGTCCTCTGGAAGCCTTCGGGCTGGCTGTGGCCCTCTGGAGGGGCAGCATTGCACGGCCCCGCCCAGGGGCAAGAAGACAGCCTGCTAGACATGGAGCCCTCAGCTGGCGAGTGTTCGATGCCGAGGTGGCCAGGAGGCCCCTCTGCTTGTCCAGGGTCTCGCTCAGCCAGGCATCGGGCCCTCCAACGGGAGCTCCCAACGTATGCATACAGGTTTGTATAGATGTAGAAAAAGAGAGAGAGCGAGAGAGAGAGCGAAAGGAAGAGAGAGCGAGCGCGAGAGACAGAGAGAGATGGTTGGTGTGCCCCTCCGCGTGTCCAGAGTCTCGCCCAGCTCCGACTGCTCTTCACGAGAAGCTCGGACCCTGGCCCGAGCAAGCGGATCCCCAGGGGCCGTGCTGGACTGCTGTCTATAGAGAGCAAAAGATCCACCCCCACATGATAAGCACCCCGACAGGCGAAGCCGCTCCGCAAACGCACCCATGGGAGGGATCGAATCGGGCAGGGCCGCTCAGTAGACGCTCCGGGCCGTTCAGTGAACGCCCCTTGTCAGGGTCGGGGTGGCTCTTCTCTTCCCTTGATGATGGATGCGGTGGGTAATCCCCGGCACGAGAGAGGTAATCCCCAAGGGCTGGGCTGGACTGCTGATGGATGCGGTGGGCATTTCTCCGCACCCGTGACCCGCGCCCACCGGCGGCTTACAGTGGCAGCAGCAGCTCGGGCGTCAGACACGCCACGGGCCCAGCACATCCCAAGTCAGTTCCAGCGGCGAGCGGCAGCACAGGGGGAGGGGAGGCCAAGGCGCGCACTCCGAGCAGATCCCGACGAGCGGCCCGACGCCGTGAAACACAGGCCATGCATTGTGCACCGCTGGGAGAGCAAGACGTCGGCGCGAACACGGAACTTTCGGAGGTCCGCGCGGAGTTCGTGGATCGGCGCTGGCCACTCCCTCCCTGGCGCACGGAGCGCGCCAGGGGAGCTCAGCTTTTCGGTCCTGGAAATCCACGCGGACCTCCCAAAGGTCATGCGTATATGCCAACTTCTCCTCTCCGAGACAAGTCGCTCGAGCAGGGAGCGACCACTGGGGCCAGACATTACCCTCCCCGGCCACTCCCCCCGGAGTCAGCACAGGCAGGGTGGGCCCCTGGACTGAGGGGCAACGGTGGGGGCGGGACCCGCTCAGGGGGGGGGAAGCATCGACCCTGGAATCGGCGATGCAGCGCCGACAGATCGGCGGCAGGCCCCCGACAGCGAGACCGCACCGTCCTGGGCGGGGTGGGGCCATCGGGCCCTGCGCATCCCCTCCGAGCTGGATGCTCGTTCGGATTGTGAAGCTTGCTCGTCGGGTTGGCGGACCAACCCCTCGAAAGACGGCTGCGTACAGAATAGCATGCCCCACCTGACATGGAAAAAAACAACCCGTAAAAAAGATAGCAGCCCAGCGTTGACTCCAGAAAGAAAGGAGGACAGGAGGGGGACGAGAGGAGGATGGGAGGAGGATGACAGGAGGACGGGAGCAGGACGGGAGGAAGACGGGAGGAGCATGATCAAGCAAGCGCAAGCAAGCAAGCGGAAGCAAGCAAGCGCAAGCGAGTAATAACAAGCAAGCAAGAGCCAGCGATCAAGTGCAAGCAAGCAAGGGCAAGCAAGAGCAAGCAAGAGCAAGCAAGCGAGAACAAGCACGCAAGAGCAAGCAAGCAAGTGCCATTCGAAAAAGGGGGTGGAAAAAGGGGGGCGCCATTGGAAAAAGGGGGGTCCGAAAGACCAATTACTTATGATGAGCTAGGACTCCTAAGGGCAAGCTTATTTGGAGAACATGGTCTAACAGCCTGAGATCCGTTCTCCTCCTATGAAAACTACTCGCGCTCTGCAACTTCTTTGGGCATATGCTCGGTGTTCGGTTTGACTCGAGATATGGAACAGCTACAGAGATCTATATGTACGCATAAGCATAGGCATAGGCATAGGCGTAGGCCTAGGCGTAGGCATAGGAGTTAGGGGGAGGCATAGCCATAGGCATAGACATATGCATAGACATAGGAATTATTAGGGGTGGGCATAGGAATTAGGGGGGCAACGGACCAATTAGTAAGGTTTGAGTTAGAACTCCTATAGGGCAAGCCTATTTGGAGAACCTTGTCGATCTGCTGCATTCGAAACTGTAGCCACTCCAGCACCGCAACCCAGAAAAGGTCGCCACAGCCCGAGAAAAGAATGCAGCTCCTCCCCCCATGGATTCTTTGTCGCGCTTGCCCAGGGGACGCCAGCGAAAGGGACTTCTGAGGCCGCGGCGCTTGCATCCGAGACTTCGAAGTGCGAGCGAGCGCGTCGCGCGACGGCCCTGCGGGCCGAGCGCCGAGCGGACTCGAGACGTCGGTACCCCCCGCCTCGACAGCCCCTCTCCCTGAGGGCCCCGCCTGGCACCGCCTGATTGGGGGGCCCGAACGAAGTGAACCCCACCCTAACCCGAACGAACGAACGAAGTGAACCCCACCCTAACCCTTCGCTTCGCTCGGGAGCTCCCGAACGAAGTGAACCCCACCCTCCCCCTCAGAAATCGTGGGGGGTAGGGGCAGGGTTCGCATGTGGCCCCCTACTGATCCCCCCTCCCCCCCCCCCCCAGCGTTGCCCCTGCACTCCGCGCGCGCCTCCGGCAACAGAGCCCCCTCCTGACGAGGGGCGGTGCCGCCGGCCTCTCGCGCAGGGCGCCCGCGGCCCTCGGCTCGCCGCGGCCGCGGAGGCGCGCCGGCCCCGGCAGCGCCCGCGGGCCTCAGGCCGCGGGCGGGTCCGGCGCACCGTCCACCGCCAGCTGGCTCGAGTTCCAGTAGCAGCCTGGGCAGGCCCAGCGATGGATGGGCCTGTTTTCCACCACCACCACCGCAAGTCGGAGGGGGAGGGGGTCCTCCTCCTCCTCCTCCTACTCCTCCTCCTCCTCCTCCTCCTCCTCCTCCTCCTCCTCCTCCTCCACTTCCTTCCCCCCTCCAACTTATGGTGGTGGTGGTGGAAAACAGGCCCATCAAGCGAGGGGCTCAGTCTGGTCTCCATGCCTGCGTCGTGGGCAGGTCGCGACGGCGGGCTGATGGTCCTCCTCGGCCCACCGAGGGGCCCGGACCAGGCCCTGGGACCGCCCAAAAAAAAGACTCTGGGTGAAAAGCCAGTCCCGGGGAAGGGGTCGAGACCCCTGGGAGTCCACGGTGTAAAAAGTCAAGACGTCGCATGTCTGGGCCTCCTTCCCTGGAGAAAGTGGGCACGGGGGTCCCCAGGCCCCCTCTTGGCTAAAGCCCCATCGGCTCCGGGCCGGCCAGGGTCCGAGGGCGAGCCTCCCCAACACCTCGCAGGTGGGCAGCCCGCAAGCCAGGACGACCTTGGACCGTTGGATCTCGGGACTCCCAGCGCGCCGAAGTCGCCCGCGGGGGACACAAGCTTCCAGCGATTCGGAGGGCGGACGAGAGCTCCCCCGACACCCGAGAGAACGCCGGGCCAGAGGTGTTCCCTCTGCTCATCCTGCTGCGATCAGCCTTGGTCCTCTGTAGAAGAAGACAAGACAGGCTACAATCGAACCCAGAACACGGGGCCCTCCGCCGGCCCAAACACACAGAACATCCCAGGGCACCCTCCCCAAGAATCACGAGAACATCCGACTGCACGCTTCCCGAACCGACCTCGATCTTGCACCTTGGTCCGACTCTACGCATAAACTTCCGGAGGTCCGCGAAAAGCGCGCCAGCGTCGGCGCCAGAGGCGCCGCCGGGGGCCCCCAGCGCCGATCCTAGACATCCGCGCGGATCTTCGCGAATTCGTGCTTATGCTGGTCTTCTTCTTCGGCCGTGGCCCGAGGACAGCCCCCGGCCGCGAAAGGCGCCCCGGGCCCCCCTCCCTCGACCTCCACGGCCGCGCACCTGCCGCGGAAGACGGAGGCAGCGCCAGAAGATCGCGGCCGGAGCCCTGGACCCCACATTCCTGCAGCGCGTCTCTGGCCGGAGCGACCTGCACTTGTCGGCTACACGTAAGAGTGACCATGGGTAAGAGTGGCCTTTGGTGCGCGGCTTTGGGGGGGGGGCCGCGGGGAGGCCAAGTCCAGGCGCGCTAGCCGCTGCTGCCGCTTCGCGTTCGGCCATCTGGGGGCCCGTCTGTGCCCGCACCAAAGGTCACTCCGGCGAAAGGTCACTCTTACGCCTAGTCGAACATGAGGGGGCCCGAAGCCGGGCGAGAACGTCCGGTGCTAGAAGAATGCGACGGCAGGAGCACCGTGCCGCGGGGGCGGCACGCAGAGGCGGACACCCTCTCGCACGGAGGGTGCGACAGGGGCGGCGCTCCCCAGACCGCCTACAGCGTCCAGAGGTCCCAGGCATGCTCGCGTCATGACAAAAGACGAGAGAACAACAACAACAACAACAACAACAACAACAACAACAACAACAACAACAACAACAACAACAACAACAATTACTAGCACGTGGGGACACTCCGTTCTCACCAGTGCCAGGGTTTTCATAGGAGGCGGGCAATACCCCCACTTTGTGGGGGGGCCGGTTCAAGCTCTACCAAATTTCCAAACGACTCTTCGCCACCACCCACACCCAGCTTCCCGCCCTATGACGTTCGGACACTTCACTTCGTGGCATGCGGACGACCGTGGCTACTATTCAGGGCCCCGCGGCCGACGACGACGGCGTGCGCGCGCGAAGAAAAAACGAATGTGTCCCGCATGGTATTATTTGACAGGGATGATGGCCCTGGCAGGTGCGCAACCGTTGTCGCAGAAGTTCGAAAAAGTTGCTCGCAAAAGCCCGTTTGACAGAAATGTTTAAAAAGTGTTGGGTTTCCTACGAATCCGCAAGAGCGCGCGGGATGAGATTTTGACATTTTTTTGTTGAAAAACCATTGGTTTTTTGATGTTTTTATGTTAAAATCGCTGCGAACACTAAGGTTTTGGAAGGATTTCGTCTTGCGCGCGCGAATGTCCACTTTACCTTATTTTTTGCAAGGGATTCTTGAAATTTGATTATATTAGAACAAGAAATGTCATTTTATAGTGTTTTTTGCAAGGGAAAACGGATTACAACAAAACAACCGGATCTGGATCACATCGTTTTACCTGAGGCTTCCTCACGAAAATGATGAAAATGTAGCTGCGGCCTAGGCGGCGCAGGGGGGGCGCGCACCAGGGGGCCCAACAATAATTATTCTTTAGAATAAATAATGTTCAACAACAACAACAACAACAACAACAACAACAACAACAACAACAACAGCAGCAGCAGCAGCAGCAGCAGCAACAACAACAACAACAACAACAACAACAACAACAACAACAGCAACAGCAACAGCAACAGCAACAGCAACAACAACAACAACAACAACAACAGCAACAGCAGCAACAACAACAACAGCAACAGCAACAGCAACAGCAACAGCAACAGCAACAACAAAAACAAAAACAAAAACAAAAACAAAAACAAAAACAAAAACAACAAAAAAACGACGGGAGGTTTGGCCGTGTTCGGCCTCCAGGCACCCTCATCGCCAGGCCCTGGGACTGTCAAAAACGGTTCAGGATGAAAAGTCGGTCCTGAAAAAAGAGGCCGATATTTGACGGCCCCAGGTTTTCCCCCCGACGACGCATTCTCGCTGGTTGCACACGCATCTCGCCTCGCAGCGGGCGGCTCGTGCCCTTTGATCGGCACCGCTGGTGCCACCGCTGCGAGGCCCGAGCCCGCGCGACCAAACCAGTCGCCCCAAAGTCCTTGAGTGACTGTTTTGGGCGGCCCCCGAAAGCAGCGAAGAGTCCACTGGGCTGCCTCCCCCCGGGGTGGTCCGGCGCGCCCGCGCGGACCTTTGGGAAAGGCGCTCGGCGCGGCCAACAGCGACGAGTCTTCGAGTTCAGCCATGGCGACAAGTGATGCAGCCTGCCTGGAATCTTCCTCCTGACTACCTACCAGACCACCCCAACCCAACCCGAAGACCCGAATTTGACCCGAATTTCGGGTTGGGGGGGGGGGGTCGGGCTTCATGTGTTTTTTCAGTGTCCCCCGACCCCCCCCCCACCAGAAATAGAGGGCAAATTGAGGCCTTCGGGTTGGGTTGGGGTGGTTCGGTGGGTGGTGATCCTCCCCGGGAACCACACTCCGGAACGCTTACGAACAGCCCTGGGGCCGGGTACGCAACGCTACCCCCGAGGGCTACCACAGAAGCCGCCCTGCGCGCGGCCTGTGCTGCACGGCGCGGGGAGGTCCGGGTCCCGGGGGCCTCCGCGCGCGGAGGGCGCGGCGCAGACGTGCGATGCCCCGGTGTGGCTCCGCTTTTTTCGCCCGCAGTTTCTGTTGGAGGAGATCGGACAGCCCGGCGACAGCAGACTCCGCGAGCGAGCGCACCAGGAGTAGTGTGAGACAGACGGCCTGGTAGAGGCAGGAATGCAGGCCGTGGCAGCAGAGTGAAAGGAGAAGGCTCACCACCTCGGGGGCGCGCGTGCGCCATTTTTTTTCGTCGCAGCGGCGAGAGTCCTCACCGCGCTCGGAGGCAGCAGTGGGATGCGCTGGGCCGAACTGGGCACAGGGGCGGCGGCAAGAGAAGGAGCGCGCGAGATGTTGCTGAGTGATGGCTTTTTATCCCGAGCCGTTCTGTCGACGGTCCCGTGGGGCCGGGCGACACCCCTGGGGCCGAAAACCACCACGCACCTCCCGTTCGGCGGTGGACAAACCTCCCTTTAACAAACCTCCCCTCAGTGAAACCAGCCTGGGACCGAAACCGACGGACCTGGACCCGCAAAGATGACGGCCGCGACGCCCTCTCGCGAACCGAGAACGGCCAATTCACTAATCGACGTGTCAGGGCAGGAGGTCTACCCACCTCCGACCTGTCGTGTTCCTGCTACGACCCGCCCACGTCTGGAGAAGGGCGAGGCCTCCGCCTTCGCACGGGTGCCCCGCGCGCCTGGCCCCCGCGCGGCCCCGCGCGGGCTCGTCCGGCCGAAGAGCCGCTTGGCGCCCCGCAGCGCGGCGGAGCAGCTGCCCGGGCGCGCCGGCGCCGTCCAGAGCGGCGCTCCGTCAGCGTCGTCGTCGTCCGCGTCCTGAGGGGGCTCCGCCTCAAGCCGACGATTCTCGGGAGTCCCGAAACGGTGCGGTGACAGACCGTGCGGTGACCTCGAAACCCCCCAAGACCTCACCGCACGGTCCGCCACCGCACGGTCCTGGGGGCCCGTTGAGGCCCCCGCCGCCCGAGACGCCCTCGGAGAACGACCCGAGTCCCGAGACCGTGCGGTGGCCCCGAATCCCCACCGACTCACCGCACGGTGTGGTCACCGCCCCACCGGGGGGGCCCCCGAATGGTTCAGAGCTCCGCCGATCTGACTCTCTCGGCCCCGGGGCTCCTCCTCGACCCCTCGCGGCCGCCGGGGCCCGTTGCTGGGCCCCCGGGGGCATCCCGAGGGGACCCGGGCGAAAAACTGGCCCCGCGGCAGGGGTCGTGACCTCGGGAGCCGCGCACAGACAAATAAAAAAAGAAGATTTTTTTTATTTTTTTGTTTTTTTTTTTTTTTTTTTTAAAAAAAAAAAAAAAAAAAAAAAAAAAAAAAAAAAAAAAAAAAAAAAAAAAACAAAAAAAAAAAAAAAAAAAAAAAAAAAAAAAAAAAAAAAAAAAAACGTGGGACGTCTGGGAAGTCCTTGGCGCAGGCTTTGGGAGCACCCCGCGGCCTGGACATCCAGCGGGCTGCCCGGCGCGGGCGCGGCTGCTGCCCCCCGCCGCCCCGGGGCGAGCTCTGGCGCAGGGGGCGGCCCGGAGGAGGCGCGGGGAGCGCTCCTGGGCAGGAGGAGCACGGGGACGAGCACGAGAAGGAAAGGGGGAAGTAGGAAGGAGGACGGAGGAGGAAGGAAAGGGGAGGGAGGAGGAGGAAGCAGACGAAGAAGACGACGCGGCGTTGCGCTGCAGGTCTGTGGTCGCACTACATGCTGGGAAGGGGAGGAGGGGGACGAGGACGAGGAGGAGGAGGAGGAAGAGGAGGAGGAGGAGAAAGAGGAGGAGGGAAAGAGGACGAGAAATCAGGAGCGAGAAGGGAGGAGGGAGAATACAGGAGAGGAGAGAGGAGGGAGGAGGGAGGAACGTCAACACCGCGAATCAACGTAACTACTACGCCCTAACAGTCCTGCATCGTGCCAGAACACCGTCTCTGGGACGTCAACTGTAAGAACTCTTGGAACTGCTGTCAACTCTTACTATGCTCAATGGAAAAACCTCATCCAAACAAATCCCCGGACAGCCCCCGGACAACCAGGACAACACCTACAAGATGCATACGGCAGGTTCGTGTCGTGCCGACCCCGGCGTTGGTTTCTGACTCCGCGTGGATCGTTCAACCTTGAACGATCGGCGACTGTGGATCGCTCGATCGTTCCATATAGGCCGATTCTGGGCCACTGGCGGCGTTCAACCTTGAACGCCCGCGGCGGGGTCGCCGCCGGTCGACACGACGCGAACCTACCGTACCAGAAGCGTCCCAGCATGTGATTGTGGCTGGCGCTCGAATATGGCAGCACAGTGCCCGCTCAGGGATGCGGCCGGCGCGGAGAGGCGAGAGCACCACGCCTGACGAGGAGGCATGCGGCATTAGAGCTCGGGCGAGAGCACCGTTTTCCCAACCACGGATGTTGCTGGCACTGGAGCGGCATCACCATACGGCAGGTTCGTGTCGTGCCGACCCCAGCGTTGGTTTTTGACACCGCGCTGGATCGTTCAACCTTGAACGATCGGCCGTCTCCGCAACGTCCAAATGTTCAACATCGAACGATTCTGGGCCGCCGTCGGCGTTCAACGTTGAACGCCCGCGCTGGGGTCGCCGCTGGTCGACACGACGCGAACCTACCGTACGTACCCAAGAAAGGATTTGGCCAGCGTTGAGGCGAGAGTACCGTTCCCAATCAGGAGCGTGGCCAGCGCGCAGTGTTGCGAGGATGTCTCGGGCGGAACTGGCCAGACCAGCTTTTTCGCGCGGCATCTGATGACCCAGAATCGTGAAGATGTCTCGGGTGAGACTGCCTGGAACAGCCCTGGTCAGAGCACCTCTAAGCCCAGAGTTGCGAGGACGTCTCAGACGAAACTTGCCAGACAACTTCGTGTTTGGCATCTTTGAGCCCAAAATCTGGAATAAGTCTCATGCGAAACTGGCCAGACCACCTCAGGCCAGAGTATATCGGAGCCCAGGTAGTCGCAAGGATGTCTCGGGCCAAACTGACTGGACAAACTCGTGCGTGGTATCTGGGAGCCCAGAATTGCGAGAATATCCAGGCGAAACTAACTGGATAACCTCGTACGCAGCATCTCGGAGCCTAGAGTTGCGACGTAGTCGCAGGCGAAGCTGGCCGGACCGCCTCTCGCGCGGCATCTCTGAGCCCAGAGTTGCGAGGATGTCTCAGGCGAAATGGGCTGGATAACATCGTGCGCGGCCTGTCGCAGACGAACCTGGCTGGACCGCCACAGGTCAAAACATAGGAGCCCAGAGTTGCGATGATAGGCGGGACTGGCTGGAGCACCTCGCTTGCACCATCTCTGAAACCAGAGCTGCGAGGACGTTTTGAGCTTCCGAAACTGGCCGCACCAACCCTCGCGCGGCATTTGACGATACTTCCGAAGGAACGGTCCGCACCACCTCCAGTCAGGGTATATCGGAACCCAGAGTTGCGAGGACGTCTCAAGCGACACTGGCTTGAAAACGTCGCGCGCGGCATATTTGAAATGAGAATTGCAAGGATGTCTCATTCGACGCTGGCCAGGCCACCTTAGGTCATGGCATATTGAACTTGCGACGATAGCTTAAGCAAACTGGCTGAACAACCCTGCGCGCGTTATCTCGAAACCCAAAGAGGCGAGAAATACCTCAGGCGGAAGTGGCTGGACCATTTCACACGCAACATCCAAGAATCTAAGGTTGCGAGGATGTCGCAGGCGGAACTTGCCAGAGCACCTCTCGCGCGACCTCTCTGAGCCCAGAGCTGCGACGGGCCGCGTGCGCCGTAGCGCGCGCGCCCGCGCCGCCGCCGAGGCAACAGCCGCCGCCATCACCGTCATTGTCGTCGTGGTGGCCCGTCTCCTCATCCTCCTCCTCCTCCTCCTCCTCCTCCTCCTCCTCCTCCTCCTCCTCCTCCTCCTGATCCTCCTCCTCCTCCTCCTCCTCCTCCTCCTCCTCCTCCTGATCCTCCTCCTCCTCCACTCCTGATCCACCTCCTGATCCCCTTCCTCCCCTCCTCCTCCTCCTCCTCCTCCTCCTCCTCCTCCTCCTGATCCTCCTCCTCCTCCTCTCCTCCTCTCCTCCTCCTCCTCCTCCTCCTCCTCCTCCTCCTCCTCACCTCCTGATCCACCTCCTTCCTCCTCCTCCTCCTCCTCCTCCTCCCTCCTATCCTCCTCCTCCGATCCTCCTCCTCCTCCTCCTCCTCCTCCGATCCGCCTTCCTCCCCTCCTCCTCCTCCTCCTCCTCCCCCTCCTCTTCCTCCTCCTTCTCCTCCTCCTCCTCCTCCTCCTCCTCATCCTCCCCCTCCTCATCCTCATCCTCATCATCATCATCATCCTCCTCCTCCTCATCATCATCCTCTTATGATTATGGTTGTTATTATTATTAGCCTTCTCATTAGTAGTGTCGTGCGTGTCTTTCTTATTATTACATTAATAGTATTATTATTCGTAGCAATGTTAGTATTATGACTCGTCGTGTTCTCATTCGTAATAAAAAAAACCTTCCTAGTGTCCGTGTTAGTATTGTTCTCTTGATTAGTCGTCTTAGTCACCTTGGTATTACCCTTACTACTAATAATAATGATAATAATAACTATTATGAATATTATTATTATTCGTCTTCTTATTATAACTATGTATAGTGTTCTCACGTATCGCATAATTACGCGTATTATGACTAGTATGGGTATTCTTATTATTTGCAGAAGTACTATTAGTCGACGCCTTCCTTCTGCCATTAATGATATGAGTATTATTCGTATGCTCACCTATGTTATTGTACTTATTATTATCATGATTCGTAATACGTTCCAACGTACTATTACTAGTATGCTTACAACTACTATTCATAGTACTGGTATTCGAATGTTTAATATTATTCTTACGTGTAGTAGTAGTAGTATTCGTATTATCGTTAGTATTCTTAATATGACTAGTATCGTGTATAGTCATCTGCGTCTTCTGCTTCGCAGTATTAGTATTACTATTAGTATGGTTATTAATAGTGCGCTTGTTCGTACTAGTACTATAATTGCTATGTTCATTCGTATTATGATGTTTCTTATTTGTCGTACCATTATGTTTGTTAGTAAGACTGATACGATCATTGTAAGTTTAACTATGAGTATGCTTATGTTTCCTCTTCCTCCTCCTCCTCATCCTCCTCCTTGTCGTCCTCCTCCTCACCCTCCTCCTCCTCATCATCATCAGATTCATCATCATCATCATCCTTTCATCCTCCTCCTCCTCCTCCAGCCCCTCCTCGCCCTCCTTCCTTGTTCTCCTTTTTTCCGTCGGAGCCGAGCGGGAGGGAAAGGAGGAGAGAATGGATGAGAGGCAAGGAAAAACGAGGGGGGAGATCGCTGTGGCGTTTGTGTCAAGAGTGGGCGCGGTGTGGCGGTCGCTGGAAAGCTCCACGTGCTAATGAGATCTCGTGCGGCATGGCCGTGGCCCCTGTGGCCGCGGCCCCCGAACTCGTTCCCACGCGGGCGCGCCATTGCGATTGCTGCGGCGGCGGTCCCCACATGGGTTCCCGTGAGAGGCAGCTCGCGTGCGGCGCGCCTCGGTGCTCCTCATGGCCTCGGTGCCTGGGTCACCTACTGCAGAACGCGGCTCGCATGCGGCACAACGTGGTGATCCTCGGAACGGTGGTTTCTGACATGGTCCCCGCGCGGTCTGGAACGCACGCGGCGCACCATGCGACATTGCTTGCGACGGTCGTCGATGCTTCTCCCGCGCGATGATGAGGAACATCAGTGGGAGAACGACGAGGACGACGGGGGGAGGAGGCAGTTGAGGCTGGACACCCCCTGGACAAACCCCTGGACAACCCCGTAAACAACCCCCTGGACACCCCCTCCCGTTGTCCTATCTATGGTTCGGTCTCCTCTTCTGGCTCGCTCTGTTTCTTCATATCCACGCGGTCGTACTAATTATGAATGCTCGTTTCTTGTCTGCGCTCGTCTTCCTCGCGCATTGTTTCATTCGTCCTCACCCGCTTTCCTCTTCGCGTCGGCCGCGCGCGGCCCCGCCTACTTCGCGCGCAAACGGCCCCCCGCAAACGACACTTGAAAGCAACGTGTCCTTTGCAACCCACCAAACACGCCCGACACGACTTGCCGCAGCGGGCGAATGTTGCAAAACGGTATCGGCGGAGCAGCGAAGGTGCTGCCTTGCGCCCCGCCGTCCGAAGATCCGTCTGAATCTCTTTGCGCGAAGTCTGGGTCCCGCCAGACCATCCGGAAATCAATGGCGACCAACCCCTTCACGCGCGCAGCCCCCAGGACTAATTCCTGGAGCGCGCAAGCTGCGGTTTGACCGCTGGCCCGGTGGGAACCCGAGCACGCAATCCCACGCTCCACTTCCCGCGGGCATGCGACCTGTCGGCTGGGGGCCAGCGACGATGAAGCGCGCAAGGAAACTTCTCGGCAAGCGCAGTAGACGCGAATAGCCCTCTCGAGCAATCAGAAGTTGGTGTTTGGGACAAGCGGGAGACAGGCGCAGCGCGCAGCCACGGGCGCGTGGCAAGGCGCCGGTCAATCGGGGGCCCGCGGGAACTGCGCGCGACGCTGCACAGCGAGACGTGCAAAATCTTCCGCGCCGCCCCCACCGAAGCGAAAGTCACCGAGAAGGAGTCACGCCCGCCCGCGCGCCAGCAGCCCCTCCTTCATGCACGACCCAGCACGGGCACACTCCGAATTAGGGCAGAGCGTGGGCGAGGCAAGGTGCGCCACAAGCGAGCGGGCACGCTTGGAAGGAGCTTCCTGGCATGCCCCCCTGGCAGCCCTAACGGCCCTACTGGCGAAACCGGCCAGACCGCCTCGCGCGAGGCATCTCGGAACCCAGAACTGCGAGGAATGTCTCAAACGAAACTGGCCAGAGCACATCGCGCGCGGCGTCGCTGATCCCGTAGTTGCGAGGATCGCAAGCGGAACAGGCTCGACCACCTCTCGCGCGAGGCAGCTCGGAACCCAGAGTTGTGAGGATGTCTCATGCGAAACTGGTTGGACCAGACCACCTCTCGCGCGGCACCTCCGAACCCAAAATTGCGAGAACGTCTCTGGCGACACGGGGAAAACCACTTCGCGAGCGGCGATTCGGAGGCCGAAGTTGCGAGGATGCCTCAGGCGAAACTGGCCGAACCATTGAGATGAGGGCATCTCGGTGCGTAGAGTTGCGAGGATGACTCAAACGACGCTGGCCGCGCACGCTGCATCTCCGAGCCCAGAAACAGGAGGACGTCTCGGGCGAAACTGGCTGGATCACCTTGTGCGCGGCGTGTCGCAGAGGAACCTGGCTAGACCACCTCAGGTCAGGTCATATCGGAGCCCAGAAATGGTGCCCAGCAGAGCTAGGACGTCTCAGGCGACACTGGACGCGCACGCTGCGTCTCCTAACCCAGGCATGCGAGGGCGTCCCGAGCGAAACTAGCCAGACCATCTCACGCGTAGCATCTGACGACGTCTCAGAAAGAACGGTCCAGGTCAAGGCATCTTTGAACCCAGAATAGCGAGGCTCTCAGGCGAAACTGGCCAGAAAATGTCACGCGGCATCTCTGAGCCCAGAGTTGCGAAAGTATCTATGACGAAACTGGCTGGACCGCCTCCCGCGCTGCATCTCCGAGCCCTGATGTCTCTGGATGAACTGGCTGGACCACCTCGCGCGCTGTATCTCCGAGCCCAGAAATACGGGGACGCCAGCATCTCCAAGCCCAGAATTTCGAGAATGTGTCAAGCCAAACTGATCAGACCATCCCAGTTCAGAGCATCTCCGAACCCCGAGTTGCGAGGACGTCTCTGGCGGAACTGGCCAGGCCACCCCCAATGTTGGCGGATGTCTCTGAGCGCCGGCCCCCTTGGCCTTCTGCAACATGATCCGAGTCAGCACAGCTGTTTGGGGAAGTGCGGTGAGGGAGGGCGTGGGAACAGGAGCGGAAGGTGGACACGAGAGCCGAGGAACGGAAAGGAAGGGGAGGGGGAAACAGAGGCGACATTTCCAGCTGGGCTTCCCTGGTTGTGCCATGCTTTTGATGGTATGTATGACAATGATATGTGCACGTGCCGGCAAAACAACGCGGCCTGGACAACACCCTGAACAACCCCACAAGGATCCGGACAACCCCCCCCCGGACAACCCCCCTTGGGCAAGCCTCCCCAGGATTTGCTTTCGCAGCGCTGAGGCAAGAGCCACACTTCGAGAAGGTAACGCCCTCCATCCGTGAAGCTTTTGCAAGCTATCAAGACGAATGCGCGCGGTGCTAAGGCGAGAGCCCCATTTTGAAAACCCACCGCCATCCATCCGCGAAGCTCTTGCAGACTTTCAACACGAGTGTGCGCGGTGCTACGGCGAGAGCCGCAGCTTGAAAACCACCAGCCCTCCATCCGTGAAACTCCGGCAAATGTTGTAAGACGAGTGTGCACGGTGCTACGGCGAGAGCCACAGTTTGAAAACCACCCGCCCTCCATCCGTGAAGCTCCTGCAGACTCGTAAGACGAGTGTGCGCGGCGCTAAGGCGAGAGCCACATTTTGAAAATCGCCCGCCCTCCATCCGTGAAACTCTTGCAAATTCTAGGCTTAAGGATCTTAAATGGTGGAGAGGTAACATGCAAAACGCTCTGCCTGCCAAGCGACACGTCTCGGGATGTGACAAGCTATTTACATAGAACAGAGAAGAAGGAGGAGGACGACGATCAGGAGGAGGAGGAGGAGGAGGAGGGGGAGGAGGAGGGGCACGACGACGACGAGGACAGAGGAGGGTGGAGGAGGCAGGAGGATGGAGGTGGGAGGAGGAGGCAGCGGCAGGGGAAGGAGAAGGTCTGGCGCGGCGAGCGACTATCCTCGGCGATGAGCTCGGTGAAGGCGCCGGGCTTGCCCAGCTCACCGTGGTCGAGGTGGCCGACGTCGCCGTGGGCATGGCGCTCTCGCAGGAGGCCCTGATCAGGAGGGCACCTAACCTTTCCCCGATCCCCCAGCCTCCTGTCCATAAGGGCTTGACGATTCGACTTGCGGGGATCAAACTGGATGAGTCGAGGTCAATTGGGGTAAAACCAAATGAATCCAGGTAAATCTAAGGATATCCAGGGAAACCTGGAACAAATCTCGGAAGCTCCAGCGCGAGTTGAGGGACAGCATAAGTCGGTAAGCCCTTGACGACCCTACTGAGAGGTTAGCCAACTTCCTCGGTCAGCCCTACGAATCTCGTAGGGCTGACCAAGAAACACTGAGCCGAGGAGGAGAGCAGAAAGAGAGGAGACGAGCAGGAGGTCATGGAGAATAAAGAAATGGATAAGGAGCAAGAGAAAAGAGGAAAAGGAAAAGGAGAAGCGAAAGTGGTCGAATCCCACAAGCACGAGCCCGAACCCCACCCCAACCCAAGCCCAACGCAGAAACCGACGCCGAGTCCCAAATACACAACCCGCAGCCTCGACGCTGGGTCCCGAAGTAGAGAACAGGCCATCCCGACAGCTAAAATACCCGAGTTGGAGAAAATGAAAACCAAACTAACAAAAAATCCCGAACCTCAGAATTCCGAGTCGGCCAAACCAGCGACAAGAAACCGCGAACCCAGGAGAAAAGGCCGATCCCCAACCAGAGAGGCGCGGACCCCAGTCCCAGACAAACGACAAACAACCGCTCCTTCTCCACGCAGGACCGGTTTTCGAAGCTCGGGCCTTCCAGTCTTCCAGATTGGGACCTTCGATTTCTCAGATTCGAGGCCGAGACGAGTTTCGAGGTTCGGGCCTCGGTTTTGAGGCTCGGATTTTGCCCCGATGGGAGGGCGAAGAGAGGAACGAGTCGGGGTTCCTAAAACGGGCGAGTGACCACACTGTCCAGTGGATCGCAGGTGATCCAGGGTGAGCGAAAGGCTTGGAGACATGTGCCGTTCTCCAAGGATGTCTCAAGCGTCCGAGACCTCCTGGGCCCCCAAAAAACCGTCCGGTGACGGGCCGCCCGGCGAGGTCTTTCCGGAGCTCGACGTCAGCAGACCATTCGTCACCAGACGGTTGGTGGGGCCCGAGCCTGGGCACCTCTGGGGGGGGGGGAAGGGATTGAGCACCTCCCTCCTCGTCCCCTCCTCGTCCCTCCTCCTCCACCCTCCTCGTCCCCTCCTCCTCCTCCTCCTCCTCCTCCTCCTCCTCCTCCTCCTCCTCCTCCTCCTCCTCCTCCTCCTCCTCCTCCTCCTCGCATGCTTGATTCTCGCAGTAATTGCGTGGCCCTCGGAGCTCTGGACTCCTTCCCGGGGGCCGCGCTCCATCCTGAGCCGCCGCGTGGCGGCCCTGGGGGCCGAAAGCGGCCTCCAAACAGCAAGACGTTGGCGAGAAAAAACGCCGCCTTGGTGTCCTCAACGCGCTGAGAAGGTCTGGAAGGGGAGGGGAGGAGGAGGAGGAGGAGGAGGAGGAGGAGGAGGAGGAGGAGGAGGAGGAGAGGAGGAGGAGGAGGAGAGGAGGAGGAGGGGAGGAGGAGGAGGAGAGGAGGAGGAGGAGGAGGAGGAGGAGGAGGGGGGGGGCGGGGGGGGGGGGGGGCGAGGGTGAGGGCTCTGCTGACAAGGCCTTCGAAGCCCAGAGGCGGCCTCTGGGCCCGGGCATGCTCCCCTGGCTCAGAGGCCGGCACAGTGCGAGGCCATGGCCCCTCCAGGTAGGGGCGGCAGAGTGGTGCAACCTTCGGGGATGGACAGAGTGGTGGCAGAGAGCTGCTGTCTGCCTTCGTGCCCCATTCTCTCCGTACCCTTTTCGATCGCACCGAGCACCTGCTCGCCCGCTCTCATCATCGCCAGCAGGGCCGGATCGTCGGGGGCTGCAGGCAAGGAGCGGATGCCCAAGTCTCCGACGACCCCTAAGATCCGAGCGCTGCAACTTTTTGGAGGATGGGCAGAATCCCCTTTAGCAAAACGTGGTTTCGTGAAGACGACCTCGAGCCCAAGCCTGGCGGGCGCAAGCCTGGAGAATGACGGCCGCGGCGCCCTCTCGAGAACCGAAAACGGATAATTCACGAATCGACGCGTCAGGATGGGGTCTCAGTCCACCCCCGACACCTCGTGGAGGCTGGGCCCTCCCAATGGCAGCCTCTCTCGTTTCCGTTCTTTTCTTCTCACCCGCCTCGGTCTTCGTCCTGGCGGCGCGCAGAGGGCGTGCGGGGGAGGGGGGAAGGCTTCTTAGGAGGAGGCTGCTCCTTAGAAGGCGCCGGCCTTACATCTACAAAGCAGGCCCGCGCCTTCCAGGAAGCAGGGGTGCTTCTGAGAAGCCTTCCCCCCTACCCCCACCCCCCTCTGCGCGTGGCCGATCATCGTCGGCGGGTCGAGGGTCGGCCCAAAAGGGAGGGCTCTTCTGAGAGTCTCCAGAACGATTCCACGAAGACTGCGGATCGAGAGCGCGTGCATGCGTCCCGGGCTCGGCTCCGTCCTGCAGGAGACGGCGCGGCACGTTCCGCGGCAGGGGGGAGCCCGTGCTCAACCGCACTGCCAGGAAAGCGGTGCATCCGCGGTCAGCCACGTCTCAACCATACCCTTGTGGGTCGGATTCTTGAAGAACTGGCTGGGGCCAGGAATCGTCTGGAGAGGATGCCCGCAGCTGTACTGGGGAGGCATGGGGGAAGTGCCCCCTCATCAAAATGCTCGGCACCTCACTACACGAGGGGCACTAGTGGCAGCCCTGCGCATGCGCAAATGACTTTGGCGCATTCGATCCTAGAGCCAGCAGCGACGGCGACAGGAGGAGGAGGAGGAGGAGGACAAGGGGGTGGAGGGAGGGAGGGAAACGCTGTAAGCATAGCACGTAGGAGTCCTCCGTCCCCCCTCCCAAAAAAAGGTGGAGGGAGGATGCATGAAAGGAGAAGAGGGAGAAGCATGTGGAGCACTTGCGCAGCACAGCGTGCGGGGAAAAAGAGAAGGAGGGAGGATGGTGAGGCATCAGGCAGCCGACTGGTGCAAACCACGGCTACCCGACGCCTGTGCTGTAGCCACCTCTCGATCGCGCTCCCAGCCAGCAGCTAGGGCCGTCTTGGGAGTTCTTAGAAAAGAGGGAACCGCCAGCAGCAAGCTGGCGCCCGTCAACAGCGGCTGTACGCCCGCAAACGTGGAGGGAGGGAGGGTTTGGAGGGAGGGACGAAGCGAGGCAGGAGCAAGGGGGGAGGAGGGAGGAGGGAGGGAGGAGGGAGGGAGAGGGAGGGAGGGAGGGAGGGAGGGTTTGGAGGGAGGGAGGGACGAGGGAGGAGCAGGGAGGAGGCGGGCGGGCCCGAGCCTGCTCGCGGCGGAGCACGCCTCGAGCACGGGCGTCGGCGCGGGCCCGGGGAGGAACTCCTGGAAGCGCGGCTCCTCCCAGGGCCGGCCGAGGGGCGGCGGGGGTCTTCGCAGGAGGCGTCCAAGACAGGCCCCCTCGGGAGGCCGCGAAGGGCTCCCTCCCTCCCTCTCCCCCTCCCTCCCTCCCTTTCCCCCCCTCCTTCCTCCCCCCCGCGGCCCCGGCACACGTCCACCTTTGGGACGAGTGGCCACCGGGGCCAGGCGTGCGAGGCGAGTCCGAGTCCGCCGCCGAAGGAACCGTCGAGCCTCGAGCCGTCTTCGGGCCCTGGCTGGGCGGCCGGCTCAGCCTGCAGGAGAAGGAGCAGCAGCAGGAGGAGGAGGCGAAGGGGGAGGGAGGCGCAAGGCCCGCGCGGCTGCAGGGGCGGCCCCGCAGGGGCGGGGAGAGGAGAGGGGAGGGGCGGGGCGGACGGGGGCGTTGGCAGTCAGGTCGGAGGTGGTAGTGGTCGTGGTCGTGGCGCTGTCGTGCAGTCGTGGTCGTGGTGCTTGCTGGCGGTGGTCGCGGTGGTCGTCGTGCTGGCGCTGGTCGTGGTCGTGGCGCTGGTGGTCGCGGCGGTTGCCGTCCTTAGGGTCGTCGTCGTGGTGCTGGTAGTAGCGGTTGTGCTGGTGGTGGTTGTGGTCGCGGCCTTACTGGCCGATGGCGCTGAGCATCATCTCGGCACTGCCGCGCTGGAGGTGGCGGGACAGCTGCCGCCACACTCTGGCGAGCACCTCGCCCCGCTCTGCCTCGCCGAGGTTCTGTCCGTAAGCCCGGATGAACTCTGCGGCTTCGTCCGACGGGCGGCCCAATTTCTCGAAGACGAGTAGGGCGAGGTCTCCCCCACTCGGGGGGTATCTGTCCCGCTTTTCCCGCACCATGGCCGCTGCGGCGGCGCCATCGTTGTTGGAGCGTGCTTGCCTGCGAGGGGCGTACTCAGAGTATTCGCAGGTGATGCTCCAATCAACGAAGACGGGCCGGCCCGTGCTGGGATCTGTCGTGGCGACATCTAACTTGGCTGCTTCCAGCAGGCCTGTGCGCCGGTTGACGCGGTCCCACGCAGGGACAAGCTGCTCTGCGGTCGCGGCGAAGCCTGTGAGGCTGGTGTGCAGCTTGGCATGCCAGTCCCGCATGCGGTCGTGGCGGGCGGTGCGGGACTGACCGACTCCACAGCATCTCGCGTGCCACCCTCGCCGGTCCAGTGGGGCGCCGCAGATTGTGCCGTCCTGGTGGCGGTGCTGGCACACGGCGCCTTGCGGGCAGACATCACACCGGAGGCGCAGCTTCACAGAGGTGATGAAGTGCCTGTCGGGCATGTTGGGGTCACCTTCCTCGCTGGGCAAGACGAAACTGCCAGCTCCTGTCCCGCCAGCGCCGCGGAGTGCCAGGCGGTCGTCCTCCCCGAGCTCCCGGAGGAGTTCCGCTCTAGTGGCCGCAGAGCGCGCCTTGCCCCACGTGCCTTGCAACTTGGGCGTGGGCTCCTGGAAGCACCCCAACCAATCGAAGTCGCCGCTGATGGCCCCCTGGGCCCGGAGGTCAGCGTCGGCTTCCATGAGCGCTTGGTGCGTCAGGGGGCATTGTGCACGGAAGTCTTCCCAGCTCTGGAAACCGGCGGCGCGGGCCACTTCCTTCATGGTGAGAGCCCAGCTTGCCGCATACGCTGCGGAGGAGGTGGTCCGCGCGGAAGGCAAGGAGATACCGCCGTCTTTGAGGCGCATCGTGGCCTGCGCGCGCTGCTGCGGGTCGAGAGCGGCCCCGATGAGTTCTTCCAGACAGCCGAATATGATTTGATCGAACTGGTCCACCCAGGACAAGTCGCGGCTGGCTCGCAGGTGGTGCATCACGGCGCCTTGGGCGTAGGTGCGGAGCAGCGCGAAGGTGGCCCCAGCTGAGAGGCCCGCTGCACGTAACTCGCGGAGTCGGTAGCCGAACCTGACCGCTTTCGCCACTGCGGCGGCGCCGTCCGTGCCGGCGTGGACTCGGATCCGCCTCCTCCTCCTGGTCCAGCCACGGCGCCGCGTTGCCCAGACACTTCAGGTGCGGCACCCGGCGCTCGCTGAGCGTGGGGGGAAGGGCCGCGTTGGCGTCCTTTGTCCAAGTTTGCGTTTGTCCTGTTGAACCTGTAGTCCGTGCCGGAGAAGCGTCTCCGCGACGATCTGGTCAGCGGCCGCAGCGTGCTCTAGGGGAGTGAAATCCATCACGTCTTTCCTCCCTCCCTCCCTCCCTCCAAGCCCTCCCTCCCTCCCTCCAGGCGCCCGCCCCCCCCCGCCCCCCACCCTCTCGTCGAAGGCCCCCCCGCCGCCTGCTGAGAAGGCCCCCCATTCTCGCGCCTCCCCCCCACCCACCCACCCCTGCTGACCCCCCCCTTGAAGGGCGGTTCCTCTCGGGCTAGACGAGGGGCGGGGGGGGTCTGGTGGAGGAGGGGGGGCACGGGACCAGAAGACACGCAGAGGAGCACCGAAAAACAGGCCGGGCATCGCAACACCGCGCGGCGGTCGCGTGCACGGAATCTTGCCAAGGATGCGCAAGAGGCTCCCACCCCCTGCTGCCGGACAGCGTGGCAGGACACGGGGGGGGGCCTACGGTGGGAAACTGCTGCTCAGCGTGTCGTGGCGGCGGCCCTGACGACGCGCTCTGCCCTGCGAGCGGACGGCGTGTCGCTCCGCTGCGCGGGGCGGGGGGCTCGGGAAGCACAGCACGCTGACGCTGGGCAGCCGGGAAATGGACAGCGCGTCGCGCCGAGGCGTGGTGGGCAAGGACCGGCGGAGCGACACGCTGCGCCAAAGTTCCCGACGGTTGGTGCTCGTCCTGGGGAGCCACTCGCTGCACTCGTGCGGCGGTGCTGCGTCGAACGCCCGTCGACTCGAGCCGAAGTTCGGTCGTACCTGAGTCGAACTAGAGTCGCACCAGCGTAGCACTAGAGTCGAACAGATCTGCCAAGTGGCACCCAGGAGAAGACAAAACACCACGGGGCGCAGAGGGACTTTAGTAGTACCTATGCGTCCACCCTTCGGGTGATAAGGATGGGGGGAGAACCAACTGCTGACAAATGCGACTGGTGCGATGATGGCGATGCTGGTGACGCGCCATCGAATTAGCGACGACGCGTGATGACGATGCTACAATGCGATGTAATGTCGCTATCGTCCCCGATTCGATCTCACTCGATCGATCCCACAATCGACCTCGCGGCCAGTCTTAACACCAATGGATGCAACGACCGATCCCATGATCGGTCCCACTGGCGATCTCACGATCGACTCCTCGATCGATCTCACTCTCGATTTCACTATCGATCTCACAACCAATGCCACAATCAACCGCATTGTCGATCTCACTTTTGAACTTACTATCCGTTCCACTCCAGCGCGACCTCATAATCGATCCCACCATCGACTTCACTATCGACACCACGGCGGGACCCCCCGGGCCACCGCGTGCCCACCAGGGGCGAAGGGGCGGCCCACTGCATCCGAATCGCCCTAGCCACGGCGGGGCGAGTCCTCTCGCGCGCCCACGCAACTTCGCCTCGCCCGCACGCACGACACGAACAGGAAGCCGACCACGATCTGACCCCCCAATCCCTGACGATGTGTCATCCTCGGAGGCGTGCGTGCGACCAGATCATATGGTACAGACGGATTGTAGTATACCGCTTCCCGAGCGGAATGGCCAGCAAGCGCCCGCCACGGAGCTTGTACTGTGAGATTTCTCGGCGCGCGCGTCGCCCCAGAAAGGGGGGCGACGCACATGTTTTGCGTCGGGGCTAGGCAGGGGGCGTCTGCGCTGGCGATGGGAGGCCTGAGCGTGGATGCCGTCAGAGCGAATTGTGCCACCGTGCCAGAGGAGGACGAGGAGGGGACGCGGCCGAAGGCAAAGAGGAACGGGGCGGACGGCTCAGGGGTCAGATCGCTCCCCGAGCGTGCGGCGGGCGACGCACACATGATATCCTCCTCCTCCTCCTCCTCCTCCTCCTCCTCCTCCTCCTCCTCCTCCTCCTCCTCCTCCCCCTCCTCCGCCTCCTCCTCCTCCTCCTCCTCCTCAGCATGCCGGCGCGACGCCGACACCACAAAACCTCCACCTCCGGAGGCCCCCGCGCCGCCGCGCTCCGCTCCTCGGGCGCCCCCTCCCCGAGGAGGGGCGCCCTCCCCCCCCGAGGCGGGGCGGCCCCGGGCGCCGGGCGGGTTCGGAGGCCGCAGCCAGCTGCGCGCAGCGGCGGAATCCGCCCCCCCCTCCTCTTTCCTCTTCCTATTCCCCGCCTCCTCTTCCTATTCCTCCTCCTCCTCCTCCTCCTCTCCTCCTCCGCCTCCTCGTCCTCCTCCTCCTCCTCCTCCTCCTACCTCCCCTCCTCCTCCTCCTCCTCTCCTCCTCACTCCTCCTCCTCCTCTCCTCCTCCACTCTCCTCCTCTTCCTCCTCCTCCTCCGCATCTCCTCTCCTCCTCCTCCTCTCCTCCTCCTCCTCCTCCTCCTCCTCCTCCTCCTCCTCCTCCTCCTCCTCCTCCTCCTCCTCCTCCTCCTCGTCCTATTCTCTCATTCCTCCCTCCTCATCCTCCACCTCCGCCTCCTCTTCCTATTCCTCCTCCTCCTCCTCCTCCTCCTCCTCCTCCTCCTCCTCCTCCCCGCCTCCTCCCCTATCCCTCCTCCTCCTCCTCCTCCTCCTCCTCCACCTCCTCCTCCTCCATCCGTCCGCCTCCTCCTCCTCCTCCTCCTCCTCCACCTCCCCTCCCCCCTCCTCCTCCTCCTCCTCCTCCCTCCTCCTCCCTCCTCCTCCTCCTCCTCCGCCTCCTCCTCCCTCCTCCTCCCTCCTCCTCCTCCTCCTCCTCCTCCTCCTCCTCCTCCTCCGCCTCCTCCTCCTCCTCCTCCTCCTCCTCCTCCTCATCCTCAACCCTTCCTCCTCCTCCTCCTCCTCCTCCTCCGCCTCCTCCTCCTCCTCCCTCCTCCTCCTCCTCCTCCTCCTCCTCCCACCTCCTCCTCCGCCCCTCGTCCTCCTCCTCCTCCTCCTCCTACTCCTCCTCCTCCTTCTCCTCGCTCCTCCATCCTCCTCCTCATCCTCCCCTCCTCCTCTCTCCTCCTCCTCCTCCTCCTCCTCCTCCTCCCTCCTCTCCTCCTCCTCCTCCTCCTCCTCCTCCTCCTCCGCCTCCTCCTCCTCCTCCTCCTCCTCCTCCTCCTCCTTCTCCTCCTCTCCCTCCTCCTCCCCCTCCTTGCCATCGCTGGGGCGATCATTGCCCGTGCATTTTCCGATTTCGTGCGTCGAGAATGGCCCAAGAGGCTCCTCTGCGGTCCTCGCCGAGGGAAAGATGCACAGGTCCGAGCGATGCCAAGCCCCTTTCCCAAGTCCCCCCCTCCCCCCCCCCAACATTTGAAGGGCAACCTTAAAGGGGGCCAGGTCGGGGGGGAAACTGAAATCACCGCGGGGGGGTGCTGAGAGGACTGGGGGGGTGAGGAGTGGATGCTGAGGTGGGTCGTATCTGGCCTAAGCTAGCTTAGAAGTGGGTCACCTTTGTCCGAAGTAGTTTAGGGTGGTGAGATAACTCCGCTAAGTGGGCTCCGCACATTAAAACCTAATCCGCACGCCGCCTAAACCGTGTAGGGTTAACCCGCTGAGAAGCTAGGTTGACCCAAATGCATCCCACCTTAGCATCCGCTTCTAACCTCCCATCCCCTCGGCAAGCCTAGGAGGTGATCATGCAACATCGAGCTGAACTCGACCATACATTGTCATGGCGTCGGCGATAGGCCCCAATGGCGAATCCGCACGTTCCTGGGCGGGGTGGTATCGTGAATGAATGGGCGACTCGGGGTCGATGCATCCACCCCTGAGCCTACTCCCCCCCCATCACGTTGCCTTTGGCGTTCCGGAGCTCGGCCCTCCAACGGCCGTTCGGGACGATCCGGGCACCCCTGGAACGTTCTCGGCGAGGCGCGGCTGCTGCAGGGCATCCCGCGGCTGGACAACCGCCGAGAGGCCCCGAAAACCGCCGACAGCCGGCATTCGCGCCCCCGCTTTCCCGAGCCCCCCCCCGTGTTCGTCCGACCCGGATCCTCGGGCGAGCCTCCGAGCTCCTCTCCGATGAAGACCCCTCCCAGGCGGGGCGCCCCGCGCGTCGGACTGGCGGCGGGGGTCCCCTGCAGCCCGAGGCCCAGGAAGAGTTCCTCGAAGTGTGGCTCCTGCAGGCCCCCGTCTTCCGGCGCGGCAAACACCTCGGGGTGGTCCTCCTTCTCCTCCTCCTCCTCCTCCTCCTCCTCCTCCTCCTCCTCCTCCTCTCCTCCTCCTCCTCCTCCTCCTCCTCCTCCTCTCCTCTCCTCCTCCTCCCTCCTCCTCCTCGTCCTCCTCGTCCTCCTCCTCCTCGTCCTCCTCCTCCTCCGCCTCCTCCTCCTCCTCCTCCTCCTCCTCCGCTCCTCCTCCATCCTCCTCCGCCTCCTCCTCCTCCTCCTCCCCTGCTCTAGCCCCTCCTGCATTCCTTTTCCTTTCGAATACCTCCTCCCTGTCGCACCCCGAGGCTGGTCGAAAGGGCGGGCCGGGCGTTTCGCCTCAGACTTCTCCACCATTTGAGATCCCGAAACATAAAATCTGCAACAGTTTCACAGATGGAGAGTGGGTCGCTTTCAAAATGTGGCTCTCGCCTTGGCGCCGCGCTCATCTGTCCTAAAAAATTGCACGAGCTTCACGGATGGAGGGCGGTTCCGTTTCAAAATCTTGCTCTCGCCCTAGCGCCGCGCACATCCGTCCTAAAAGTTCGCCAGAGCTTTACCGATGGAAGGCGGGTCGGTTTCATAATGTGGCTCTCGCCGTAGCGCCGCGTACACTCGTTTCAGAAATTCGCAAGAGCTTCACGCATGGAGGGCAGCTCCTTTTCGAAATATGCCTCTCGCCTCAGCGCCGCGCACTCTCGTTCTTAAGAGTATAAAACTGTTTCAAAAATCTCTTGGTTAACGCCCCAGGCGTGGTGTTGTGGCACGATGTCCAACTGTCCAGACGCAAAAGGTACGAAGATGTGTGGTGCTGATGTCCCAGGAATGGTCTGGCACGATTCAGGATCGTCAAAACGCAACAGTAATGGTGGTTCGCTGCGTATCCACGCAATGGATTTCCTGACACAGTTCAAGATGTTCAAACGCTTGTTTTCCAACGGGACACCTCCTTCACTGAAAACCTATCCGTGTAGGGGCCTATGAAAAAAGGGAACTCGGAGGGAGGGTTTATTGCAACATCGGTGGTGAATATTGGGTTTGCACTGGTCCTCCTCCTCCTCCGCCTCCTCCTTCTCCTACTCCTACTCCTACTCCTGCTCCTGCTCCTACTCCTACTCCTACTCCTCTCTCTCTCTCTTTCTCTCTCTCTCTCTCTCTCTCTCTCGCTTTCTCTCTCTCTCTCTCTCTCTCTCCATTCCTCTCTCTCTCTCTCTCTCTCTCTCTTTATATATATATGTATATATAAATATATATCTCTCTCCCTCTTTCAACCTGCGCGTCATCCTGACCCGGCCATCCCCTCAGGGGCGTTTGCCCCTGAGAGAGGGTGATGAAACTAGTCATCCAGGCACTTCCAGGGGCGGTCGCAACCGGAGTCGCCGGCTGCGGGATGGAAACTGATCGGTAGTGCGCCAGCAGCAGATCAAGGGAAGGAGGGCAAGACGAACCTCACAGCGTCGAGGAGCGAGAAGGAGAGAGGGGATGCGGTGGCGGCGTGGCGGCTTGAGCGGCGTGGCCGTGTGCAGCAGTGGGGCGAGGAGCGGAGCGGGAGCGGCCAAGGCCACACACGCCGAAGAGGGGAAGGGGCAAAGGCCACACACGCCTCGGGTCCTGCCCCGAGGAAGTCCCCCCAACCAGCCCACAGCTCCACGACGGAGGTCCTCGCCCGCGAGGGCAGGCGTAGGGGGCCCGAACGTGGAGCTGGTGGCTGCCTGGGGGATTTCCACCGGGCGTGGGGGAGGTTCGACCCTACTGGCGGCGGCCTTCAAGACGGCCTCCAGACGGCCCAAGACGCCACCAGGACACCCCAAAAACCCACCCTCTCGCTTTCATCGGCATCACCATCACACTGGACGCCCACAAAGACCATGGGAAAAAGTCTACACTCAGGGGGATCGCCTGATGCGGCGCAAACCTGTAGAATCTGTCGGCCCAAGAACAATAGCAAAGCCTAAAAACCTTGGAGCGCGTCATAATTCTTAGCTTCTTGTTCACCCGGCCACCTGTACGCCCCGCGCCCGCGCCCGCTCCAGCTCCCGCACGTCGTCGTCAACGAGCAGGACCTCAAGGGTGATCAGTGATCG